ATAAGAAAGGTAGCCTATTTCTTATCCTTCTTATCTTTCTTTCTTATCTGTCGGCGCTTTATTATCTAATAAGATTTATTATCTTTTAGATAATAAAGCTCCGAATTACAAGTCCGATATTTCATAGTGCTATCTCCTCAAAAATGGCTGCAGACGATTATCATAAGATAACAGCAGACTCCTGCGGACGAAGGATGCACATTCCTGCATATCCTTGACACGATCTGCTCGGCTGTCGCTTCAGACATGCGTCTCGCCGTTTACGGAATTCTCAGGCGTCGACGTCGTCACCGTCATGCAAATATAAAAAAACGGACGTGCACATACCTCGGCACGAAGTCAGCCGTGCGTGAGAAGAAAAGAGGAGAGGGCAGAAAAAAGAGACGAAGATAAATCGGTTAATTACTATCTCGTAACAAACGCCCGTCAGGATACGCGAAGAAATACAAAAACTGACATCGCAAAGTGTCGACAATAAAATTGTACGTAAGAAGCATATAATACTATTAATGTTAAAACGAAAATGAAAAAATAAATTGGATTCTACAGATGAGTTCAAGGAAGAAGAAATTATCAATTTCAGAATACACTCTGTCTCTGTACAAAAAAAATAATAAAAATTATGGAAAACGTAAACCGGAATTAATAATCGAAATGAAGATAACAAAAGATGAACTAAATAAAAGAGCGATGCTTAAAACAAATAAGAAGAAAGAGAAGAAAGCTTTAAGAATTCTGCGGAATTTTATTTTTTTCAGCCATCAATCACGAAATGATTTACGATTGATAATATCCGTAATTTAAGTACGCGTTAGGTGGTGGCATATATATATATATATATATTCGATTGGATAGCAAGTGAAGAAATGGTGGGTAGCGTGCAAAATGCGACTAGGAAAAATGATTTCGCGAGCGGAAACGAGTGTGACAGCGATAAATCTCCGGATCTGACCGGGAACGGTGCAATCGATTAATATTCGTGGCGAGTCGATTCGTTGGCAGGAAATCGGAGGGCTGTGATCAATCGCATGCGCATTTCCGGGATTGATTACAGAGAAGAGAAACCAAATCGAAAGTCCATCTTGGCATCTCGAGAATTATGTTAAAATCGAAGAGAAGAAAAAAGAGATACCTCTCAACACGTGAAATTTAATAGAAATGTAAATAATTAGCTTCTTTTTACGTAGAAAGTTATGTCTGAACGGTAAACGAGACATTTTTAATGTATTGTACATGTTACTATTTTAGTTTATATGCACAATATCTCGGCTCGGCATAATAACGAGAATTTCTGTAATAACCAATTAAAACCTGTTCGAGTTAGAGTAACGGTGATGACGTCAAGGATTTTCCATTTCTCGTAAAAAGAGGACAGTCGATTTATAGTTTAATTATTTAAAAAATTCAAATAATTCTCCGAATCGAATAAACTCTCTTGGATTTGACCTATGATCGAACATTCCAGGAAGTTTGATAAACAGAATGTTTCCTCGAATAATTTTACTTGCAATTAAGCCAGTCGAAGGTCTCATCAGAAAGGTGAGTTTAACTTGCAGCATAAATATGATGCAATGCGCTTGCAACAACAAGGCGTTAAGATCTCGTTGAGGAGAAAAACTAAAGAGAATTTTGTTCGAACGATCGCGTTTCTCGCAATTTTTTTTATAATTATCATATCAATAAGTTTTAACTTAAGTAAGAGGTCTTTTTATAATAATTTTTATTTCTGCAATTGTTTATAGAAAGAATAATTCTATATCTTGCAGACATCTGTAAAATATTTTCTTTAAATTATCTTAAGTATCTTGTAATTATATCTCATGTATAGTATTAAATATTGAGTGTTACGTCGGTTTTTATTATCATAAATAGAAAATAACGTGTGTTGATTATGTCTAAGTTAATGCTACTGAGCATCCATAATAATGATAAATAATTTTTATAATTATCAGTTTAAACAACTACATTAGATAATATTAGAAAAGATAACTTACATATAAATATCTACTTAAACCACGATTTTGATTCATATAAGTTAACGATTTGCATCTTAATGATTTTCTGCAAGAATTTGAATTGGTAATTTTGAAGGGAACATTATATCAACAAGGAAAATTATCTTCTTTCAGAGAAAAATCGAAAATTTTAAGGATGTTTTTCCAAAATAAAAAGATTAATTAATATTATAATATTACATTGTAATAATTATTAATAAAATTTTATTGAATTTTTTTTCTTAAATTTTTTCACATTTTCACTGATTCATATTTAAAAGCTAAATATTTTAGATTCGATTAATTTCATTATTAAAGTATTGAATTTATATAATCTTTTATTTTATTAATTTTATTAATTTTTATTTTATAATACATCTATTTTCTTTGTTTCATTAAAAAAATTACTCATCCATCCGTAACATTTCGCAAGAAAATAAAACGAATCGATTAAAGAAGACGAAATCGAATTGGTCTCGAAAGTTACACTTTTTATTTACAGGCTATTGGCCGTCACTTGCGTTTTTAATTATTTAAAACAAAATTTATTATATCAAAATTCATGATTTTTAACTTTTCTTTCCTTCTTTACTTTTCTTCTTTATTTGTAATTTCGTTCGATTCTGCCTTGCTTCTAATCTCATTTATTGTTGATGATAATCTGAAATGAGATCGTATTATTGCATTATTCAGCTTTTCTGATTTTACTCTTCTGAAAAAAACTTCCGAAAAATGGACATTAGATAAAAAATTCAAACGTGACCAATTTGTTATTTAATGTAACATTTAAACCAATTCTCCTACTGCGATGCGCATAGTTGTCAAAGAAAGCGTAAGAAAGTTGCGGTAACTCGATGAGATCTATACGCTTCCTCGACCCGAAAATTCCTGGTCGGCTTTCTGCAGTCGCTAAATCGTGTTCTATAAAGCGAACGTGAAAGTTAGAATCGCCATCAAAAAAATGCCGAGGCGAGGAAGTGCGTCTCCAGTAAAATTGAAAATTAAATCGGGAGGACTGGCTTGAAGATACATTGTGCATTAGACAAACATAAAAATAATATAAAACGCTTAATAAATAATAAAAACAAAAATAATAATAAAAAGGCTTCTTTCTTTAACAAAAGGTAAATTGTAAAAATTCATGGTTTTCGCTACGTCGCAGACGTATTTCTGCCGTGCGTCGAAAATTATTTTGCGTACAACAATCCTCCAGAATAGCATTTTTTTAGATTAATATTTAACTCGAGTCGCTTGTTGAATTTTTATCATGCCCGCCGATTCCATTCAAGACGTAACGTCGCACGGAATTACGGCTGTTACGAAATTGGTGCAACAGCCGGTTACGACAGAGGAATCCGCGGCGGGGATTCCGACACTCGATCGGGGTCTAATCAGATCGATCGGCACGTAGCGCTATAAAACCGTTGACGATCAGTGTGTCAATGTAAAGTGGAAACGACCTTCCAGTGTCAGCGACCAGTGTCGAGCTCCTCTCGTCTTGAGGACGGCGTCGGCTTTAACGTAGCTGGCGAACGTTACGCGACAATACCAAGGACCAACTTCGGGCATTGTAATTGTGCACGTACTACATGCTCGTCATGTAGAAAGCGTGCATCGGTCGCAGGGACGCTCTTCCTTCGTCGATTGCGACGAACGATTCGACGATTATTATTAACAACTCGTTAGTTTTGAAAAAAGTCCAAAAAGCTTTTGCGTCTCGATTTAATTTAGAGTTCGAGCGCACCTGTCAGAGAGATTACGATTTCTTCTTTTTCTGAAAGAAGGCTCGAAAAGTTGAGAAAAACTGTACGATTAATTAATGACGAGATTGTTGTTGATTAAATTATTAACTGTTCTGTTCTAAAAGAAATTTACGATATCAATAATTTACTTATTTTATTTACTAATTTATAGATTACAGATTTACACGGGAGAAACACGGGAAGAGTTTTGCTGAAGAATCTAAAAATTCGATCAGATATAAATCTAAAAATAACGTCGTTGGGCCATCGAAATGATTATATAGAACATTCAAAAAATGGTTACTAGAACATAAAAAAATTTTGCAGTATTATCATCATGCGCTTAGACGCTTTACATAATAATTTTAATGAATCAACAATTATGTTCAGATCTATGTCTGGCCAATATTTTAAATATTTAGCAAAACGGCTCCTTTGCTTCAGTGTCGTCTATATCGATATCTATATCTACTGTCCTGAATTTTGATAGATCTACCTCAAGTCATTTCATCATTAAAACCTATTTCAATTGTAATTTCAATTTTAATTTATGTGATATTAACGTAAGTACATGTCTACGAGCAGCTGCCTGCCTGCCTGCCTGCCTGCCTGCCTGCCTGCCTGCGCAACACGACAGACACGACGCCTGCGTCAGCGATTCTTGCACAACAGTAAAGTTTCATCAGTTCCGCAAATAGTCACGCAAATACGGAAATAAAGCCGGCTCTGCTTTCGGAGACACGGGACGATGTCCCGAGCCGATCTATCGATCCGACCCTGATTCTATCTGCGCATGGTGACAGACGCGCGACGCAAGGCGATTGTCACGTAGCTACGTGACTGTCGTAGCTTCCTGCCCGACGTGTCCCACATATCCGTTCGTCTTTGCGCTGGGCGTCTCCGCGTCCTCGGCAACGTCGGCTTTCCGGCTTCGCGCTTTCGATTTTTCATGCAGGCACGGCCCAGGAGATACCTTTGCTCTTATTAACACATTTAATGTCAACGATCTTTTTATTTTCACGTCACTTTCACGAGAGTAGAAACGTCTATGTCAGACACGTCGGAAAGGGCATCACATTTCTCTTTTTTTATTTTTTTTAAGGGGAAACGAGTTTTCTTCAAACTAGCTGTGTCCGCCCTTCAGGGCGGAAATACACACGGCAGATACGCGAACTTTTTTATCGGCTATCTCCCACATAAAAAATGTTTCAAGTTTCTTTATTCGCAAATTTAATTCGTAATTATTTCCTCGTTTGGTATCCAGCTTTGCCCGTGGCCGACGAGTCTGATGATACGAGTACGATAAGAGATATAGAAAGTGTCTCGGAGTCGACTGTCGCTCCCGAGGTGGAGGGTCACCCCATGGACGACATAATGCCAGGAACAAAACCACCGCCGAGCACCGTGGTGTTCGTTGACATCCCAGAGCATACGGAAACGGAACTGGGTTCATCCGTGCTGCTGGCCTGTCGAACTGCTAATCCTGTGGCCGAATGCCAATGGTCCTGGCAACCATTACCACCGGTTCACCTGCCGCTTCCGGACGTCAGTGAAAGCCCGCCGGTTTCTTCGAGTAAGCGCGATATCACATTGTTTCTTCCGCAATTAGCCCGTGGCGAATCCAACTCTTGACTCGCGGACATTCGTGCGAAAATAACAAATATTAAATTGGTGAAATTTGTGATTTCATAACGATCCACTAAAATAAAAAAAAATATACATATATTTTTCCTCTAAAAGTTTAAAAGAACTTCCCTAGCTTTTAAATATTAGTTAAAATTTGTTAGATTAAAATTTTAACAAATTTTTCCTTTAAGTTAAATTTCATAGATACATTTCAGATCACTTTAAATAATTCTTCTACGTACCTTTCCGTTCTTTTCTAGTTCAATAATTGCTCTTATGGACTGTTAGACATCTTTCTACGGATATCCCGAGCATTACTCATAATTCTGTAAATCGCGCGTTGAATATTCATCGGGAATCGCTCGCTCAACCTCTCGGTGATTTTCAGCAATCACGGCGATCCCGACGATCGCAACTACAGCAACTCCCACGACCCACCCATTGCCCGTACGACAGTTTCCCGCGTTCGGGAACAACAGCAACGATTGCTCCGTGAGATTCTCCAGCACCAAGCACGAACAGACAGGATATTGGACCTGCGCAGCGAGAGCCTCGACGAGCGATCCTTTCACCAGCACCGAGCCTGCCAAGCTTAGCATCGTCAATGCTAATCAAGGTAGGATCGTTTGATCCTGTTGATCTCGATCTCGATTTCAACATTTACCAAACTATTTTCAAATTATTCATTAATTGTTCATATAATTCAAATTTTACCGTATATTTTCAAATTCTATATTAATTGTTCATTTTATGTTCACTATATTCAAGTTATATATTGTTATAAATTTTTTACCACTGTGGATAAATTAACATGGATACAGTTTAGTCACAAAAGTGGGAAGTTTAAGTTAAAAATTTCGTTCCACTCGTACAGCAAAAAATTTCTAACAATATATAATTGGAATACATTATATGAACAATTAATATAAGGTAAAATTTAGCTTAAACTCGTTCCATTTTTTGTGGAAGTTATATTCATGTCAGCGTATACATGTAGCAAAAAGATTTATAATAACAATTTGTTTTTAAGATATTTTTAAAAAAATTTAATAAAAATATTCGCAATTTTTAACAAATATGCTCATACAGTTACACAACATATATTTTTTAATGTCACAATAATAAAATTATTTTTTTTCTTTCGATTCTTTCGATTTTTGTTGTTCGGTTTTGTATTGATGAATCGATATTTACTCAGATCTCGGATTCAATGCTTATCGAATTATCGACAAATTGTTTGGAAATTCGATGAAACCATCATCTATCTTCTATATTAGTCTACACGTGGTATTTCGCGGGGAAAAGTTGTTTGAGCGATAGTCCCGTTTTTCGATTACAATTTTAATGTGTGTAAGCATGGTAAATAAGCACGACGTATTTACGCAGTTGCTTTCGGATGACCTCGAATTCTTGGTCACAAAACATACTTGACATCGCTGTTTGTCTTCGTCAATCGCGCCGACTGCCATGATATTCCTCATTATGAACGTTTTGACACAAAATATCGTTTTTATTTGCTATATACTCTGTTTCAATTTTTAATTTAAAGTTAATATTATATTATCAGAAATATTTCACTTATCTATCACATTCGTATCGATTTACATTCAGTTTTGATAAGGAATTCCTCGAATGAGTCATCCAAAAAGTGAAAGACAAATGAATCATGGAAACGTTGTTTCCGTACGAATTTGGTTCACTTTGATAATTATCGCGAATGAATCATGCGATATGAAAACGTATAAACATTTCCCTCTCAGAAAAAATAGATTTCAAATTAATCGAAAAACCTGAACATGAAAGTACCAGCATGCAGGATTTCGTATTGAAAAAAAAAAAAAAAAGAAAA